GGATGTTGTTTCGTTGTTTGTTTCGCGGTAAGGAGCCTACACGCTACAATATTACAGAAGTGTGCCTGCTACCGAAAAATAATTTGTTATTGATCCTTAGTTGGTTTAACGAAGTTTTTTCAACTGCATTGGTTTTGTAGCGTCAAACTGTAAGGTGATTTCGAAATTACGAATTTAAAAGGATGTGGAAGGAGGCCATCGTGGCCTAATTCTGGAGCGACTGATGAAACACACGGAAAACCTCAGGCTAGACAGTTGCTAGGCCGTCTTATACTTTAAATTAAATCAAAGTTTATTTAAGAATACTCCAGCCTGTATGTCTTTAAAACTAACGAACGTAACGCTCCCAACATCTCTCGGCAGGCCAAGGTAATCGTCAGGAATAAGGAACATATTATTTTTTATTGCTAGTGGAGTAGGACTAAGTCCCTTGTACTGCGGCCACTTCTGGCCTATTGTACCAGCCCAAGATGATAGGTGAGGGTGATTGTGGGGCAATTGGTGGAATTAAGATTGGCAGGGGAAACCGAAGTAATCGGAGAAAACCTGCTCCAGCGCCACTTTGTCCACCACAAATCACACTTGACCAGGCCCGGGATCGAACCCGGGCCGCCGCGGTGCGAAAGCCAGCGACTAACCGCTTGAGCTATGGCACGGCCTGTAGGGAACATAAGTTACAACGAAAATATAAATAAGAAGGGACTCTTTTTGCCTAGAATCTCAGCATAGAAAGTGTGAATATATTTATATAATTAAAAATGCCGTTCAAATTATTCTCACTGTCTTCTCGTACACTGTACTGATCACTCAGGTAAAAGTGAAGTTGATCCTGTGCTTAATTAAGCACTACACCTTGAAGACGTATGGGGGAGTGAAGGTATAACTCCGTCATTCTTGATCTAGGCAGTAGATAGAGGTGAGTGGTCAGCTTCACGTCCCGGCCGCTTTACCACCAGGGAAAGAGCCGCCGGTACCTATTGAATAAGAGGCTGAGTGGATGTGGATCCATGGAGTAGATAAAAATCTCCTACCCCTGCCGAGAATCGAACCACGGCCGTCCAGTAGATCGATTCTGAATCTAAATTTTTACTGCATCCAAGGTATCTTTTACGATTCTGTAGAATTTCTATGTATTATCTTCTAGCTGGGATTCTGGATTTCCGTGTGATCTATTTTCGGGACTTCGTTACGTGGAGGAGAGTTGGAAGAATTAACGTATTATGACGCAATTGACCATTTCTAGGCAACGGCTCAGTAAATACAGTCCCAGAGTTACGCTCTCAACAATAGAAGGCATCCATTGCTATGTAATGGGCCAATAAACACGAATTCTAGAACAACAGAAGAAAAGGGTTTTCCGTGGGGTCCGTGCCGAGGACTTATAAGAGGGCACAGAAGGAGTTCCGAGGTTGACAGTTGTAGGAGTACAACGGAGACAAAGAATGGAGCGTGTCCTAGTGATTTGTGAAGTGGGTAGATTGGTGATGGCGCTATGATTGCTTGTGATTAAGAATAACTGTAGGAGAAGGTGTTAATAAATCCAATCATCCAATCTAGAACCCGTTACTATTGGTCACGGATCCACAAACATGTGACAGTATTGTAGATTATCTTGTACATTTCTTAAGTTCTGATGGTTCAATATGCTATCAGCTTTATAATTTTTAGGTTTTTTGTATTTTATTTTCGTCTTCTTTTTCATATGATAACAAATATCCTAAATGAATACCATAATGACAAAATTACACATTTGCTAAGCACGAAATCAATTCTAATCAGACCTCGTCCTGTGAATGACATGGTTTCACTTTGTGTTTAGATTATGATTCTGTATTTGCATATTGTGGCGACACGGAAGTTAAAAGAAACCCTGTATCCTATCAACAAAATACGCATGGGTAAGTCAGTAACGTGTCTTAGTGTACTTAACAAGCATAAAAAATAATAGAACGGACTGAACTCCAGTACGTAACGTACAACAAAATTCCCACGTCCCATCCTGTATAATGGCCGTATGATTCCCTACATAGTTACGGTGTAAAAAGAATAACAAGGGGCAGTCTTTATTTCCGCGTTCATTTCCCACAATTGCATATCCAGCACTGCTACGTCATAGCATTATCAGAGAAGGTGTCAGCGCTCTTACAGGCACTGATGTCCGGCTTTAGTTGTTCGTGATTTTGCTGAGCTGCTTACACGGTTGACTGATTTTCAGGCCCCTTTTCCGCAGACAGAAAGTCTCATAAGCACCGTCTGTGCCCGCTTCCACGTCTTGACATCCTGCTTTGAACCGTGCCTTCAGTTTGACTAGTAAGGACAGTCATCATGTCAGTATTCTGCTGAACATTACTCAGTGGGGGGCGCGCACTATGCTACAAGCCGGAAGGTCGCGAGTTCGAGTCCCGATGAGGTTGATTTTTTTTCAATTTACCTAATCCTTCCAGCCGCAATATGGCCCTTGGGTCGACTCAGCCTCTAACAGAAATGAGTAACAGGAATCTTCCTGGGGGGTAAAGGGCGGCTGGCGCGTAGGGCTGACAATTTTACCGCCATCTGTGGGCCGATTGCCTTGATACTGTGGGAGCCTCAACGTCCCACAGCCCTATGGGCCTTCACGGCATGGTACAGGGATAGCTTTATATTGCTCAGCATCTCATGACGGTATTCTATCCTTGCTGCAGGCGTTACGGCGGCACCATGCACATAAGATGGACCAACTCACATCATAAGCCATTGGTTGTCATGAAATACGTATATACCAAATATAAGGGCAGCTCATAGAGCCTTCTCAAAAAGTGGCGAAGGCCATGTATTTGGTAACGCCAATGGAAAAGCAAAATTGTATCAATAATAACATTTTTAGATCAAATTCGGAGTACGTTTGAGAATCTTCCCTTTTCGTTTAAAAAACTGTAGGGATTAAAATAGTCAAAATTATAATTTTACATATAGATTTGTATAAGTGTGAAAATAGGTACCTCACTGCAAAAGCGGAACATAGGATGAGGGTGTTTGAGAACGAAATGTTGAGAAGGTTCCAAATTGGACTTTGCGCTCATCCTGTATAGGAGGGGAGGGGGCGGAGGAGAAATGTATACACACTTTATTTAGTAAATGTAAAGAAAAGTTTAACACGAGCTCGTGTCAACACAGTGATGGCAATCTTGGATCAACAAAATTCGGGGAAATTTCTTCTTCATTTGCTGAACGACTGTTAGTTTCTTAGTAAAGACTTTTATCTATATAGTTTGCTAGTTGAAGTGTTAGGCCGCGCCATAGCTCAAGCGGTTAGTCGCTGGCTTCCCACCGCGGCGGCCCGGGTTCGATCCCGGGTCTGGTCAAGTGGGATTTGCGGTGGACAAAGTTGGGCTAGGGCAGGTTTTCTCCGAGTGTTTGGTTTCCCCTGCCAATCGTCATTCCACCAACTGCTCCACAATCACCCTCACCTATCATCTGGGGCTGTTACAAGAGGCCAGAAGTGGCTGCAGTACAAGGGACTCAGTCCCACCCCACTAGCAATAAAAGTTGAAGTGTTCGAAACTGGCAAGTGGACTAAGTAAGTGCACACGACTTCCTGCAGACTGCCTATTCCTGCCAAATTTTCATTCGTTCTACAGCTGAAGGAAATAACAGGTTCCATAACTAATCCATTTTCTGTCTTTAACTGCTGTAAAGAATTCAGCCGCCACGACAAGCTTTGGGGTTGAACTGGTTACAGTTTCTGCAGATACAATAATCTAGAGCCGTGGTTCTGTGATTACCATTTCAGCTATTCAGTTGGAAGACCTTGTCGTGACGACAAGGACCGTAACAGATCCAGCAACATCAGAGGACGCGGAAGAACAGCGAGACCTCCAAAAAGTGAAAAGTGCAATGAATATAATAAAATTGAACTTTAATTCATGAACTTTTAATCTATAATATAATTAAACTAGCTAAAGTGAACTTGACGCAGTGATGAGCGTAAGTAGGAAGTGACTGAATAACAAGTGAAAGTGAAAGCATAGCTAGTGATCTGAATTGAAATTCGATTCGCAAATTTTAAATTTTGACATTTAGAATAATATTTTAACTTGTCTTTTGTGAGAGGAGCTTGATATATTATTGAGCGTGGGCCTGAATAAGATATAGGATCGAATAAGTGAGAAGACAAATGTGATTGCGTGATTACAGCTGTGTTCGTACACCTGAGGATGACCTCTTGAGGTCGAAACATGTAGTGTGATAGTAATAAAAATATGTTGTGTGGTCGGTAAAATTGACTCTAATACTGGTTAGTGATGTTTAGGGAAATAAACGCCTCTGTTTATTCTGAAGGTAACAGGAAACTTTTTTACTTACCTTTTGTGGGTAAAATGTAGAGTTGTTAATGTTAAAGTAGGTGATGCTACAGTCAACGTTGTGCTTTGAACGGTTAAGGAGTTTCAAGATTTACGGAAATTAACCGGCATGGGTGGAGGCCTCTTAATCTTGGGAACGAACTGTAATCTTTGAGGACGAGAGTGTTTAATTTCTCAATATAATTCAGTCATTCGTACTTATCTTTCTAAACTGAATTACATCTAGATGAGGGGTGAGGGACGAACCGTGTAGGTGAGGAGTCACGAAGCCTAAATTGAAAAAATTTCTAAGTAAGAAAATTATGTAAATACGAAAATGTCCAAACATAGCACACGAAAATCAAGGTATATTCGTACAATTATTGACTTCATGGACTTCATCCATTTTGTTATTTAAAAACAACGTTTCACAAACAGGTTTGTTTTCTCTGTCCTCAGGTAAAATACTACTCAGTTGTGCCCCATCGATAGAGTTATCTCCGGTTCAGAATGGATACAGAGTCCAGTATCCGAGAGTTGTTTTTAAATAAAAAAGAAACAGGACTAAGGATAATGTCCATAACGTCATTAACTGTATTAACATACTATCGTCATATACTCGTATTTGTAATTTAACACAGGCAATTCAGCGATAGAAATGGGTTGAGACATGTCACTTGCCTGAATCTGGGGTAACAGTGGTGTTGGTCTCTTCAATGCCCTCCTGGTCGTCTAAGACGAGATACAGCCTCGAGTTGCGGCTCGTATGGTCCAAATCAGCAGGAATCCCATTTTCAATAATATGAGGACTCCAAATCTTGCGCGTGAATTCAGCTATACTCTCGACGTCACCAGAAAGTAAACTTCCCTCATTTCCTTCTGAAACAGCAACACGTACCTGACATCAATGTAGCTTGTGACTGGGAGCAAAACAGAGCGATATCACGCCTCTGCGAGCACATGCAGAACGAGTCAATTTGTACTTTGTATCTAGCCCTTAAAGTACGAACACGTTAAGATACTGTGACGTGTACTCGTTAAACACATTCCCGCCAAGCGTACGCTGCAACAGAAGAATGTCCATCGCTAGGTAACGGACCAGTAAACACGCCTCCTAATAATACAGGCTGTGTTTTCTGTGTGTTCCGTACTGAGGGGCTATAAAAGGACTTTAGCTTCAAACTTCGTGATATATAAGCCTGTTGATCACTTCACATTTTTATGATAGTGAAATAAAGGAAAATCCGATGTGCAGGGCATGTGCAATGCGTACAGTGCAGACTGCTTGTGAGGAAACCTATTTGAAAAAGTTCGTTTGGAAGACCGGAAAGAGCCCGGGAGAATAATATTAAGAAGGGTCTTAGAAACACGGATTCTGAGAATTGAAAGAGTTTGTAACTGGCTCGGTATTTTATCCATTGTGGACTCTGGCATTAGGAGTGTAGAATCTTCAGGGGAGCCTTCTGAATAAGGAGATATAGTATTCCAATATAACATGTACATTTCATCAGTCTCATAAAATATTTAAGAAACTGAGGTTATATAATGCCCCGAACAATACTTGTAAATAAAATTCGAATCCAATGATATTGCAGCGGGTAGAGCCATTTCTATGCAACGGCAGCGAGAAGGACGAACACACCAGGGCCGTTTCTGGGTAACGGTTCAATAAACAAGTTCCCGCAGTGACACGAACGCAGCAATAGAAGAGCAGTGTTTTCTATGTGGCCTGTACCGAAATGATATAAGCAAGGGACGAGGTTAGAGCTTAGTAAGTTCCGTACGGGAGCATGTGAAGAGAGGACTTCAGCTCGGAGGCAGAGGAACAGTCACTGTTGGAGCCGTTACCAGGTAACGTCTAGTAACAGACTGAGAACACTATACTGTGTGCTCTAGTGTGGAAATAGCGATAGTGTTATAGCTGTTTGCAGTTACGACCTACAAGTGGTAAATAAGTCTATTCACCAATCCAAACATACTACTACATACATTAACACATACTACGTGACAACACAAGATGGCTACTTTCACAGGTGCAGAGCTTGCTCGTTGTGTGTTTTGGTTCGAAGAAACGAAGTCTGCTACACAAGTTCAAAGGAAATTTCGCACTCAGTATCGCAAGGAACCTCCCAGTAGGCCTACAATTTACTCCTGGCACAAGAATTTTGTTCAGATCGGATGTTCTGTGCGCCATGCTAAGCCACCCGGTCGGCCACGTGTTTCTGACGCTACAGTGGAACAGATTAGGGACATGCTCCAAGAGTTCCTCATTCCAAGGTTAGACGAAGATGACCAAGAAGGACGCATTCACTTCCAGCAAGACAGTGCACCCCCTCATTACCTTGGAGAAGTGCGCGAGTACCACAACGCCCGTTTCCCAGGTCAGTGGACTGGTAGAGCGGCGGCGATAGCATGGCCACCTCGTTCCCCGGATCTCACTCCCCTGGACTTCTTATGGGGATTCGTTAAAGATCGAGTGTTCGTACCGCCTTTGCCTGCAAATGTCGTTGGGCTCCGAACTCGAATTACTGCCTCAGTTGCAGAAGTGACGCCAGAGATGCTACGTAGCATGTGGCAAGAGACTGACTACAGGTGAGACGTCTGCCGCATTACCAATGGAAGTCACATTGAACCATAACTATCCGAGGTAAAACTCGGTGTCTTGCTACATTATGACAGTTCAAAATGTTGTGTATGTCCTCTGTATAAATTTATATAAGCTTTCACATTTCTAAAGCTCTTTTTAAAAACACCCTGTATATTGAGGGTTTAGGCAGTTTACGAAGTCTGATCTAGGAATCAAAAATGTAAGCCGAACTTAGTAGCTGGGAGGTTATATATTGGAGCATATGTTTATAGGAATGATGTTTCCCCCAACTGCGTATGGTATACAACGCAGGGTGGGAGGATGATCAACGAATGATAAATTGAAAACGAAGCTATGGCAGTCTTTTCCAATGAACTGTCAAGGACCGTGGAAGATTACGACAATCTGAGCCAACAAACTTGGTCGAGTATGGAAACCCAGAGCGCCAGAAGGGAGGACTGCTAACACTGAAAAGCATTGTTCATTCAACTTGGCTTAAATATGCAGATAGTAAGTATGACTTGTTATCTTATCTCGTAAACTTATCTGGTGAAGTTCACAAACAGCTAATTACGTAATGCTGAAGACAACGTTCAGGGACATGTCCAATATTTTAAGTAAACAAACCACCTCCGCTTTCTTTCTCTGTAGGCAAATCATGACAAGATAATTTGCGAGAATATTATCAGTAGACGAAACCTAACCTAACATTACAAGACGTGGCGAAAATCCGCCATTACATAACCAGTTCATACTTCACTGTATGACTCTGGCACTTGTACGTAGCATGCATTCGCCAACACTTGTATCTAGTAGGAAGAGAGTTTAAAAGTCCAAGGCATACTTTCATAATTGCTTGTTTGCGAATGTATATTTATTTATCTGTGCCATTAATGTTCATAATTGCAGACATAAAAAAGTTCTTCGCGTCTTAATTTTACAGAGACCTGTCTTGTGCTGAACTCTTGTGGCGGAAATAAGGACCCAATATGCGGAGAACAACATGAAATCCAACAAAGAATAGACGGATAAATTATCTATCAAATCCAGCATATGAGAAATAAGTAATTTTGGGGGAAGAGGAGTGATTGTAATAATTTGGATATGATAAAAATTATGAAGACTATTTCCTTCTGTTATATATATATATATATATATATATACGATGGGGTACCCAAAAGAAACCGAACTAATTTTTTTGTGGGCNCATTGAAGAAATTGTGGAGCTGTCGGGAGTGACTTGGAGCTCAGTTCAGCGAATTTTGACAGAAGATTTGGGAATGAAAAGGGTGGCTGCGAAATTCGTGCCACGACTGCTGACTGCTGAACAAAAACAAGGTCGCGTGGAAGCATGCTGTGCTTTGAAAGAAGAGTCCCGAAATGATCAAAACCTTTTTTTCAGCGTTTTGCTGATGTTGCTGAGGTGAAGGAAAAAAACGACGGAGGTGCTGTCAAGCATCTCAAAAGACGAATTTAGACAATGTTTTGAAAAATGGAATAAAAGACTAGACAAGTGTATTAGTGTAAGTGGAGAGTACTTTGAAGGGGATTGAAGGTTTGTGCTTAAAATTTGAATAAATAAGTTTAAAAAAAAATAAGTTCGGTTTCTTTTGGGTACCCCCTCGTATATACATGAATTAGGGTAACCGTCACACAACAACTATACTCGCTTTTAATATTTTACAATTAGATCTTTTATTCCTGCTACATGTTTCGGTCGTACAAGACCATCATCAGGCAGTTATACTGTATATAGGAATATGTTTAGTTATTGAACTACCGATATGGATCCATAGCAGTGCAACGTGTCATATTATATAAACGTACTAACAGAAAATTTGCCTCAAGTTGGTATTACAATTAAAATGGATGATACAAAATAACATAAAGGATAAAATATAAAGAAATGAAATATATATCATGTATCAATATATATCACGTGGTATATGTGTTGAATTTATTACAGTTAACCTAATTCATATTGTGTTGTCGCGTATTTGCTAGGCAACGCGACAACAAATTTTGCGGTTCCCGGATTTGAACGAATATTTATTGAACAATCACTCTTTACACTCACAAGTACGATTATTCACACTTCTAACGTCGTCAGATGTTTCCTCTTCATTATTACAATTACTCGCAACGCAGATCTTGGTGAAATGTCTTCTGCTCTGCTCGGAGTTCAACTGTCCTTGGTCCCTTGTCGGATACGAACTCACTCACGTTAAGTCGAATACAAATTCTGTTTTAGTTGGATAAGAACTCTTCTGTTCTAGTCGCATAAGAACATTTCTGTTCTAGTCGGATAAGAACTCCTTTGTTCTAGTCGGATAAGAACTCTTCTGTTCTAGTCGGATAAGAACTCTTCTGTTCTATTCGGATAAGAACTCTTCTGTTCTAGTCGGATAAGAACTCTTCTGTTCTAGTTGCATAAGAATTCTTCTCTTCTAGTCGCATAAGAACTCTTCTGTTCTAGTCGCATAAGAACTCTTCTGGTCTTATATATATCTGAATCACATAACAGGATGTAACCAATGAAGATATTTCCTTCTGTGTGTGTGTGTTTTCTTTAAGCTTTTCAGCATGTGGTGACAGAAATAGAGGCTAAATAACATCGTTGCTCTGTTAAAGAGTAGGGTAGATCTTATTTCATTTAATATTCGGGGTTCAAATAAGAAGCGTAGACTAATGAGTTCCATAGTTCGTGAGGCATTACTGAGTTTCAGGATTATGTTCATTGTCTCGCATTCTGAGAGAACTCAACATTTCGGAAACGAGACCCGGTTCCGGTCTCGTGTGAAAGTGTGGGATGGTACGTATTCATCTGGGTCCGTTAGAAGAAGATAATTTCAGTTGCTAGACAACCTGAATTATGCCTGTATATGAACTTAGGATCAGATTTTGTCAACGAGAGACAAATCCTGATCCCAGGTCTTCAAATAATGTTCTCTCTTTTGTCGTTTTTAACGAAAATTGGAATTGTGTTTAGTGAAGTCTCCCATATCGAAATACAATAAAAATAGTCCAACGGCTTTGGAGCTGATACAATGTCGCAAACGACACGACCTTCACAAAAGGCATTTTCATTTGCTTCATAAATGAGAAAATAATCTGCATGTAAGCAAACAGACGCTCACAAATGCTTCCGACATTTCTTTCTTTCTTTCGTCCATTATTATGTTTGTACTAACAACATTAAAGTGGCCAACGTTTTACCGAGAAAATTACACTAACGATAAACTTCTTGCAGATTCTAAAGGGTTCTGACGATGGTGAATGACTCTAACCTAGA